CCGCCGGTCGCTACCCTTCGCTGAATGGGCCGCTGTTCTTGGCCCTGGTTACCACCCTCTTCCATTCCCTCACAGGGCCTTTGAGGCCTGTATTGCCTTTCACTTTAAGCGAAAGTTTGCTTGACATTCCAATGAGTAGTAATTGGAAGTATGCATTTGAGGAACGAAAGACCTGACATAGCTGTGCTTAGTGGTATTTTTGGTTTTATATTGGCAGATTTACACGATTTACAAATGGAATTTTAAGTGCAGCACTGATTCAGATGTGGAGCTCGCAGCAGGTTCAGCGATACGCAGGGCCTCATGCGGCAATTCCAACATCATCAGCTCTCGGTGGTGTTCAGATGGGTAGTGCTGCCCTGATGCCACGTGTTCCTGGTGCTGCTGCAGCTGCTGCTGCCGCCGCCGGTGCTGCTCTGCCACCTGAAATGCAGCAACCGGCCTACGCTCCAAGGCGGCCAACTTATTGCATGCAGCCGTCTGGACCGTCATTAGGCAACGCTTCTCCCGGTGCTGCTCCACGACTGAGGGTTTGTTAGTTGGTTTTTTGTTAGTGATGACGAATGGAGTTATTTTAGTCGGTTTTAGAGGGCAATATGTCTTTGAAAAGTCGGGGAATTTCATTGGTTTGGCCAAAAGTCCCCGTCAAAAATGCACAAAATTTAGGCGAAAAAATCAGTATATCCCACAGGAAAAAATGAAAAAAAAAGATTTATAGTTTTTTGAGGATAGCAGTTGATACTCTCCACTTCTGAGATTTATAAGGGATATGAAAAGGGATATGAAAATCTCCGGAGTCTGCTAAAACATTATGTCAATAGCAGTTGACCACTGAAGCGCCTAAGCAATTCATATAGAAGGGCTGCGAGCAGATTTTCAGTTAGTAGAGATACAATCCAAGCTACTCAGGCTTGAGTACTTTTCGGTTTTAGAGGGCGACATGGCTTGAAAAGTCCGAGAATTTCAACCGTTTTTCCAAGAATTCGAGAATTTCTGTAGAATTTCAGTCTTGGAAAGTCCCCTCCCTCATCAAAAATGCACGAAGTTTGGGCGAAAAATTACCAGCGTCAGTTATGTTCCATAGTAGAAGTTGAAAAACAAGAATTATAGTTTTTGAAGGGCAGCAGTTGGTACTCTCCAATTTTGAGATTTATAAGAGATATAAAATATTTTAATGTTGGAAGAAGCAAAAGCTAGTAGTATTAAGAAAGTATATTGGAAAAAATAAGTACTTTAAATATATTGTAAAATATAACAGTAAGAAATGTTTCGGTCCATTAAATGGTATACATTTCTTACCATTACCACAATTGGACTTCGTCAGTACGATAATTGTGGTAATGGTAAGAAATTGAGTTTGATTTAAATAGATGTTTTATTGAAACTGGTATAGGTAAAGTAACGATAAAATTTAGCTTGAGGACTCGGGAGTCTACCCAAACATATTATGTCAGCAGCAGTAGACCACTGAAGCGCCTTAGCAGTTTATATGGAAGGGCTGCGGGCTTATTTTGAATTAGTGGATACAATCTAAGTTAACCAGGCTTGAGGGTACCGTTGTATCAGAATCTCTCAGTTTTTAAAAATTTATAAAAATCCATAAATTTTTGCAGTACTCCGCACCATCATCGAGCTCACCGGCACATCAACAGCTGCAACCCCAATATCCGTCGCACTCAATGATGCAGGTAATTATAGTTATTCTGGGATTCCTTCTGTTTCCTTACATCTCATCAATATGCAAATTTTGCAATTTTCCCCCTAAACACGCAAATTTTGCAATCATTTCTTCCCCAAGTATGCAAATTTGCAGTCGTTTTCGCCTCAATGCTGCAAATTTGCATCGATTTTTGTCAGTGTATATGTAAATTTGTTAGTACAAGGAATTTGGTCCCATTAGGCAAATCTCTTATTACCCTACCCCGTGTATGCGTTTTTGCAAAATGTATGTGGATTTAGAAGAAGCCATTATAAAACTGATAGTTTCGGGAACATTTGAGGTATGGTATCGGCGAAAAATTCATTTTTGCTAAGGTGCAGCTTATGTCTAGATTACCTACTTTCGTTGCTATCCCAAAAATTACTAGGTTTAGCCAGTTTTGCAGTAACTTGAATGCAATTTTTAGCATTTCCCGGTCGAATTCATTATTTTTTTAACAAAAATTATCGTCTTGCTTACATTGCTTAAATGATTTTAGCATCCATTTTCCTGGAAATGACACCTGAGTCTTCCACCTGCTAGCCCTAATTTTAGTATGCGCCAGGTTTCAATCATAAGCAGATTGCAGCATCCGGGTTTACCCCGGAAGTGCAGATGGCAAGGTGTAAAAGAGTTCAGAAGATAGAAATCGTGTAGATTAGAGAAGGTAAGAGCGCTTCGACCCATTAATTCTGTGTCTCTACAGAGAGGGAATTTTGCAGGGTGGTCGTGCGATGATGGTTGGAACGCCCGGTGCTGCATATCCACCTCATATGGTGCCGTCCACATCAACGGGTATCTCGGGAATGCATGGTGTCCCTCCAGGTACT